TTGTTTCTTTTCAAAATACAAAGTATACAATTAGAAAAGCTTCACTTTGTACACTGTAGAACTTTTTACGCTGCATCTTGAGGTATATGTGATAAAACCAATTAGGTGATAAAATGATGAAACAAGAAAAAAAATGATTTGCTCATTGGAATAGAAAAATGATCTTTTAGGTACAATGGATATTATTTTCACGGAATTTTACTTTTTTTTGAAAACAAAAATTACATAACCAAAATATGCTTTACTTTGCAGATTGTAGATCTTTTCACGCTGCACCTTCTGGTGTATTATACTTTTTTAAAGAAAACATATTAAGAGATACACAGATAAAATAAGAGCGAAGGAATGGTTTTTTGACACCTTCGAAAAGTGGTCGTTTAGAATTTTGCCTTTTTCAAAATCAAAATTAAACAACCAAAATCAGTCTTGCTTTATGAATTGTAGAGCTTTTCACGCTGCATCTTGTGGTATACTCGGTTTTTTAATAAAAATTTTTAAAGATTAAAATCTGACATACAAAAACCGGCCATTTATATTGGACACCCGTTGGAACGAGATTTCGAAATTGATATTGATACTATTGGAACTGCTTTTCTATCGAAAAAACATAAAAGAAAAAACAATTTTTGAAAACGAACAAAATAATTGTATATCATTCTCGAATAAGAACCTATTTTTTCCTATTAATAATAAACATTTGTGAACATCTAATAGTGATTGAAGACTAAAATTGAAGAAGTAAACGTATTCAATAAAAAGTGCATATACTAATTAAAGCGGGTTTAATGCACTACTAGAGGAGTTAATGCTTGAGCTTTGCATACAGTGCAATCGAGAAGTTCAGTTCTCATGAAAAAAATTTTTTGCATCGGACTGAGCAAGGGGAAGAAAGCGGAGCTCATTTAACAGTTTATTGCTATCCCTACAAAATTGACCTTGCGCCGCCCATGAGCAAAACTAAGATCTAAAATCTAAAATAATGTTTTCATTGATTATTTTAGAAAAATATCTATAAAAATAGTCTCTTTTCATTCATATACGAATGTGTAAATCGAGCGGCTGAGCTGTTGCCTATTAATCCATATATTTGCACCTTTGCTCATGTGAGAAGACCATCATCTACTGCTTTTTTTGCATTGAATCTAATGTTTGGTGAAATTCAAATATGATTCAAACTTATTGCATTTTACATTTGTTTGAGTAAAAAAGTAATTTGTAATTGATTATAATCAGTCGATTAATTTCGATGATGAAGTATTAGAAGAAATGTATTCCATTCAAGAGGACTGTTCACGAGCTATAGTCATAACTACTGAAGAAACAAGACTTGATTGAGTATGCCATGATTGAATTTGATGACAAAATATAAATTGAATACAAGATTTATATTTATTTGGAAAATCATTTGTGTACGACGAGTGTTGACTATAGACGAGCACTATATGGATATACGAGATCAAGAAACAAATCAATCACATGCCGAGTTTGTTCACATACGGATAGAGGTAATGAATATGCAACATATTTTGGTAAAAGTGTCATTTACTTCGTTCATGTCAATATCAGTTTTTGATATATCGACAGCTGGATGATATTAAAAAAAAACAACAAAAGTAATGATATTTATTTGTTTGTGTTTGTTTTTTGCCACATGTTATGCATATGTCTTACAGGTGACAAGCAAAGTGAAATTATCAAGAAAAAAAATTGATTGTTTTCTTTCTGTAGATATCTCTGGTATTTTAATCTTTTCATAAAATGAAATCAATAAATAGTCAAATTCAATCATAAGTCTTTCAAGGCGATTAGAAAATATTCAAAAACTTTCTCACAAAACAAATGAAATCATAATCCAACAGAATGATCATCAATAGGCATTTACGATTTTCTATAACTTTAATATAAAACGAAGAGTAGTCATTATTAAAACAATTATTTGATTAAAAGCTTTATCATAAAATATAGTGTTTTATTCGGACAAAAGCAAAGATTCACAATAAACTATGAAAACCATATGTAAAACTATTTGTAAAAGATATGTAAAATTTTGTAAAAATCAATAAGCAAAAATATTGATAATAAGAAGAATAAGAGAAATTCTTGTTGTCCTAACTTCGATATTTAATACAAATTTTTTCTCTTGAAAAATTGTAAAAATAGATTATGAAATACCAAGTAGTTAAGAACCATAGACTGTATAATTATTCAAAATAATGAAACGAATTATCTTGATATCATTGGATCTATTATAACAAATAATTCTATCGAAAAAGATATATAAATTCATACTTTGTCAGATTGTATAAAATCTGTCAAAGTAGAATATGATCAAATACTGTTGCATCAATATTTATTCAAGAAAAATAATGAGAAGGCTATAAAAAACATATTAAAAATAAAAAAAGAATAAATATAAGGATCGGTTATATATATAGACAAATGCAAAAAATTATCATCGGTCATTCAATATGTATCAACAATTCAATATATAGGATACCCTATATTTATTACTATCATTTTTAAAAATAAATCGTTCTGCTTACATTATATCTTGCTTGCCAAATATGTAAAAATAAGATCTCGTAAAGAAAATATTGGTAGAATTGCTGTAAATTTCATTAGATTTTCATCAGTTATTTGGACTTTTAATTTGTCAAAAATATCTTAAATATAGAAAATATTAAATAATATAACTTCTATCTTTTCTTGTTACGAACCATTTAATATTGACTTACTGTTAGGTTCATTTGAAACAAGTTCATGAGCAAAACAAGTCAAAATTAAGAAAAGTAGAGCAACAAAAAGCGAATTTATTATACTACTAATAAAAAATATCAAAAAGTTCTTTCTTCTTATATGAAAATATCTGTGTGACTTTAACGCTTGACGATCAGATGATCGAAATTGATTCATATAGGTATAGTCTTTACTATAATACTTCATAGTGTATTAAGAAACAGAAATAATAAAAAAAGGTAATAGAAGGTTGCCACTAGGATCGAAAGAGAACTCTAAGATATTGTCATTTTAAATTCTTCTTGTTAATATTGATGCAATCTACTGAAACATTTTTATTTTGAGAGATCGAATGATAGTTATTTCATTGACGTTGATGTTGACTATGTCCTTTTACTATATTTGGACTCATTTTTCAAGCAGCTTCTATTGACACTTCGAATTCTCTCATTAGTTGAAATTTTGTTGAATATAGCGTTTGCAAGTAGATTATAGTCCGAATTTTCGAATAGAAATATTGTGCTATTGATATCTACATAAACTCTTACTTAGTACATAATCATTCGACTGCATTTGTATTTACAATACGTATTCCGATCACAAGTTTTGTCAATTGTACAATTGTATTCATCCAATATCAAAAGTATTTTGTTCTCGACATTGTAACAATATTGATCGTAGACATGCTTGTAAGAAAATCAATGATGAGTTTTTGCATGGTGGCATTCTGTATATGCTTATATATGGGACTGATCAATCTTACTCGACACTGTAATTCTTTATTTTTAAAATGCAGCTTCTACAATATATATCAGCATTACATGATTCATGTACTACTTAGCTATAGTAATCGTGCAATTAGTACTGATCTTAGTAATTATTTGGAATATATATCTTTTCCGAAACTAAAATATTAAGAAATCTTTGTCAAATATATTGCTAAGACATGTTTTTATCAAATTTATTCATTCATTTTAATTCGTTCTTGCTATTTGAAAGATATTATGGAAACGCTTAATTATTTTGATTTCAAATAAACTACATAATTCAAACCATAAAAAATCGTCAACATTACATAAGTATTATAACAGGTAAAAAAATATCATATAATTCCCACGTATTATAAAAGCTACATGTAGAAAAAACAAGAATTTGGACATCCGATCAGGATGATCAGCTCCATATGTATATTCATATTATATGTACATTAACACTGACATTTCACTCTACTTCCTTTTTCTCCTTTTCCCTACAACTCTTTTTTAGACCTCGTTTTCTAAACAGAATACATGTTAATGCGCATTATTTTTTCTAAAAATAAACAAAAGAAAGACACCAAAGAAGGAAATTTGAAATGCCTAGAGAAAAAGAGGCAAAGTGGGATGCCAGTTAACATAATACTGATAAGATTATTGCTTTTCAATTTGATTCTTGCTTCTTAACCATATATAAATGCTACTCTTCATCATTCCTCACGTTTGTTTGTTTTATAAACTTCTTACAACCGCGACGATAGGATGATATATTTTGAGTATATGGCGCAGATTAATTAAAACTTCTCAAGATTATTTTCTTTCAAATGAAACTATTTTTTTTTATCATAATAAATATCAGATGTACTTTCAAATTTGAATATAGACAATATCTTTGATATTGTCAGTTGAAAGAAGAAATATTGGTTCAATTTTAATGTCAGAGAATAGCTTAAAGAATTTCCAACTCGAGAATTGTTTTCCTTTCGTTTTTGCAAGAAAAAATAATATTAAATTAATATTTGGCTTCTTTAATAGAAAGTCTTAATCTTTGCAAGAAATTATGGGACTTTGAATTGTAGAAAAACCAATTTTTCGTTTCAAACGTATATCTTGATTTTATATATTTTAACATATGATAAAATATCTGCTTTTCAAGATTTTTATACGTGACGACAATTATCCAGTAATCATAAAATATTTCTCTAACAATTGAAAGATGACAATAAAATTGTTTTCATCATCATGCAATTAACTAAGAAAACCAATTCTCATTTTCTCATGAATGATTCTGCCATTTGAAATCTTATATACATATAGCTGATTTGATTTTACTTTGTTCAACTACGTTTTTATTTTAGAATATTTAGATACACAAACAAAGATAAATATACGAAAAAGAAATAATATGATCATACACAAAACAAAATGACAATACGATAAATTCTGTTTAACATCTATTTTAGTTTTGTCTGTAGAAGATTGTTGTCATTATTTAAAGAATTACTCGAATTATGTGACATTGCTCACAGTCGCATTTGGTACAAAACGATGTAATATTTTCTTTTGAATTAGTTGCTTGAATTCATATCTGAATAATGATGATGATAAAGTATATACAAAAAATGTTAAAGAAAATTCCAGATAAATAAACATATAAGTCATATTATTAACAAATGTTTCAACTGTTAGCCGAAAAGATGATTTTGTATCATTTATTGTTATTGTTTGATAAAGAAGGACACAAGGATTAATAGTATTTAAAAAAGTCCAAAGCAATATTTGATTAAATAACATTTTAGAATATTGTAAATCTTTTCCTGACATTCCAGTAAATATTGCAGGTCGAACAGCAGCAACTACTGCCAATGGTCTTATTCTTCGTTTGCTTTGTCGAATATTTTTAATGGTGAGATATCCAAAAATAAGCATTATCAATGGTGGTAATATTCCACTTTCTATCGATAGATAGATGCTGAAGAAAATTCCATAAGCATCATATCTATATGAGCAGATATCATCTTGAATTTCATAGAAGACAAGAACCTGAATGTACATTAAACACCAAAATATAAAACTACCAATAATTAATCGCATGGCGATCTTTGATGAACTCCATTGACGCCAATAAATATCAGAACAACTGGCAAAATAACGGTCGACCGATGCCAAAATTATATAATAACGTGGAACAGCAACAAAAACATAGAACAAATAATAGCGGATTTTACAATACCAAAGGATAATATTAATTGTATTGATATTGAAACCATTCTGAAGCATTCTTGTGAGAAGAGCGAAATTGAAAGTTATGAATTGCGAAGTACTAGAGGCTAGAAAATACATGACACATGGATTCTTGCGAAGTTTTCGTTGACAAAAGATAAAACAATTGACAGTTGATCCAAAATTTCCTATAAGCCAAATAACACCCATAGCATACCTTGACATATTCTTATTAAGAAGAACAACAACGTTACACCAATATTTCTCATAATCATTAGTACCACAAACAGTGTCGTTTGACATTTGCAATGGCTATGCTTATAAAATTTCAACACAAAGTAAATATTAAGCAAGTTGATCTAAGGGATTATTGAGTTATAATTATTCTGGCATTTTGTTTAAAAAAAAAATTTCTTTATATAGAATTAATTTCATTCAAATGACGTCAATTTACTTCAAAAAAGATAAAGAATGTAATAAAACACTCAAGACGGGAAACACAAATTTCACAGTTGACTTTCGACAACTGATGAAACTGCAATAAAAATACAGCTTTTGGTAATGGCCAATTATATGGATTAAGTAGTAATTCCACTAATGAATTATATTTGCAAAGTCGCATTTTCGGCAATGAATGATTCATTTTTTGTTAGAAAGACTTAGCAATTAGCAAAATATCGGATTCCAGTGCAAAATCCAAGAATTCTAGACTGTGATTTATTTAAATATTATGTTTGATATAATGTCTGTTAAGTCAGTCGTCTGAAAAATATAGATGGCAAGAAAGACAAGCAGTATAAGAGTACTGTGCAGGTTGAACTTTTTGAACCTGTACTCGATCCGACAAAGTTCAACCCAATACCGCATTCGACTGGAGAAATAACATTTGTTTGTTTTCAAAAGATGGATCACTTTAATTCTATGTTTAGCATATAAAAGAATATATAAAATTTATGAAACTAACAGACACACATGAAAACATGTATGGGGGCGTGTATGCGGTATGAGAAGAACCACATTCATATCCATACTCACACCTTTTGAACCAAAGTCTGAACAACAATAACAATAACAAAAAATATTAAGATATGAAAAAGAAGTATTTGTTTTTTGATGGACAAAGAAATTTCGCACGCATGTTTTAGTATATTGTCTTGAGCACCAACTAATAGACTTATACGTTACTGTTCTTTGTATCTAGCATAAAAAACAACAGAAGGAGGAAATATATTTTATGAACAAATAGAGCCCTACAAATTTAAAATCAAATACGAGCCTGATCTGACCCAATAACGTTCAACCGAATCTGTCTGAGAGACGAGTTGCAGGACTCTACTGCGTGAAAAAATTTTTGTCCTTAGACTTTTAGCAATGTCAAATAATATATTAGGGATAAGTCCAATAATTGACGAATACCTTGCCGATAGTCCAATGATGACCTATTTAATTAAAACATGATGTCTAAAATTTGTTATAACACTTCCAGCAATTGCCAAAAGCCATGCCATACATTTGAGTTTCATCCTTGACAAACGTGATTTGCGCAGTTTTGTGTACGATGACATTTAAATGTTGTATGGCATGACGTTTGTCAATTTCTGAAAATCAATTGTGGAAGTCAGTACTGCAAAATTCATTCTATCCTTCATGACGCAAATATATTCATCAAATTTTGCAAACTTTGTCAAAGTAATATATTTATCAAGCAAAACATAGTACTGTTGACGAGAAAATGATTCTTCTGTTTACATTTAATAGCTTTACTAGACAACAGAATTTTTTTACCAGATTTGAACTTTTATCACCAAAATATGTGAATAAAAATTCAATTGTCTAATGAAAGTATTTATTAATTTTCATTTGATTAGACATAGGACACAATCTATGAAATGAATTCATCTTAATTGAATGAATAGATGAGAAAACAAGAAAGAATCATCATCATGTATTCAATACAATCCGTCAATCTGTGTCTCGAACTTTGTTCATAGTTTTAAGGGACAGTTGATAAAAAAGAAATACTGATGGTTCTTATGCAGAATTTCGAGATTCAAGTGTAAGTAATGATTCTTCTTTGGAGCGCATTTCAAATGCATAATTTCTTATGCCTATAGGGTGTCCCGTAAGTCATTAGACAAAGAAAACATTGAATATCTCCGCTCACATTTGGCATAATGGGCTGATATTTTTATCATTCATAAACTAATATTTATAGATCATATTCATAAGAGAAGCGGCAGCAAAAAACTGTTTTGAAGTATTACAACTATCTCCAACAAAGAACTATAACCTTTCATAGATTATAAAAAACAATATTGCAATTTTCTCAACAAATTCATTATGTTTATGCCTGAAAATCTCAGCGCACCAAGATTAGCAAGGCATGTATTTGTGGTATAAATATGAGGTCAAACGACACTAGTGTGGACAAATAATTGAAAGAATTAGGTGTTCCATTTATTTTTGGATGAACAATAAATATATTGTTTTTCATAATCCGTGAAAGATTATAGTTCTTTGTTGGAGATAGTTGTAATACTTCAAAACAGTTTTTGCTAACGCTTCTCTTATAGATATGAGCTATAAATATTAATCTATGAATGATAGAAATATCAGCCCATTATGTCAAAATATGGGCGAAGATATTCAAGATTTTCTTTGTCTAATGACTTACGGGACATCCTATATAACCAGGAGTGTGACTACATTTCTACGATAAGAATGAATATTCTCTAGATTCTGAAACAATATGCGCAGTCATATACGGCTACCTTAAAATACTATCATCACAAGATCTTTTAGAATATAATCATCCACTATCAATCATTGTTTTAAATTGTCTTTGTCTAATGACGCATATCATATAATATTCCTGTACGTAGTTGGATACTGATTTATTGTAAACAAGGAACTGAGTAGGACTATTTCTTATAATTTTCAATGTATTTTAATGATGCGATAAAAAGCTCCATATTGAAGTCGTGAATGGAGTAATTTTATTAATTTTTAAGATAATTACGGATATGTGCATGAACTATCTCTCTCTGGTTTAATTCGCAGAAAGAAAGAAGGAAAATGAGTAAAAATAGTTTTAACTTCAATTAAGTAAATAGTTCGATAATCCTGTATGTCATTCGACTATTATCAAAGACATTTGTGTCAAACAATCAAGAATTAAATAAAAACCAAAAAATGCATACTGATCATCCATTTCAAGAGATTCACAACATGTAATTCTTGATCTTTGAGATTAACATCAAAATTATTTATGTCACAAATACAACAAAGAATAATACTATGTATTAAGGTACTTCATTAAAATAAAGAGAGTATCAAAACAAGTGAAAGAAAATATGATCTGTCAATACTTATTCTTATGTAGATAAATAATTGAGAATAAATATTGAAGATAGAAGTAAACAATTACATTCATTACGATTATAAAGAGGTTATCAACAAAAAGGTAGAATCAATAAATTATGAAATCGACTCCCTCGAAAAATTATGTTTTCCTGTATGAAAAACCGGCATACAAGAGTTTTGAAAGTGATCGCTACTAGAATTAGTACTACTGCTTTTGTTTACGCTGTGTCTAGATCGTTTGAAATAGTTAATCACTATCCTATTTATATCATCTCTGATCATTGATAATAGTTGTTGAGGCTCGTTTTCATATTGTCTGATAGAGATTTTTAAACACTGCAAAATGCTACGAAAATATCGAAGAAAAACACACTGAACATTGAAAATCGTACGAGATATGTTGTTCTGAAACACGATTTTGAGTCTATATCACTGATATTTCTTAGACATCCATTAGAAAAAATACAATTCGGTTAAAAACCCAAAATTACTCTATAAATCAGTATTTAACATTGTGTAGGTTTATGTGAATTTGAAATCTTTTCATCGAGTTTTCTTGTCGAAAAGTCATTCCTAGTCTTGCTCAGAGTTAAGTCAAAAGAAAAGAAACTCATCGAAAAATCAGTTTCACCGATAGAGACGGTAGTTGTAATATTGAAAAATGACGCTAGAACACAAAATACCGTGTGCCTAGACCATGGAAACACCGGAATGAAGGAGTATGTGTAATGTTAATCAGTACCGATCTGGTACAGCGTAAACAAGTGCAATAGGATTAATTCTATCAGTGGTCACTGTCATCTTTTGCTCCAGATCATTTTGAGTTTCAGTTAAGTCAGTTGAAGTTCAGCGGTTTTTTTCTACCGTAAATCTATTAGTTACTGTATGACATTTCTTTCTTGATGGTAATCCTGGAAGTGACATTTTGTCTGGCAGTTTCATTCAAAATGATCTTGAACAAAAATCAGATTGCGTTTCTCAATATTAATTTCTTTATTTCTCTATATACCACTACTCTTCAATTCACATTAAATCTACAGTAAAGACGTATATGAGGACTTCTTAATAGGAGTCTATTTATAGTGAAATATGAATGGTTTTGTTTTTGACTTCTGCTAATTACAAAAGACTTCCTTGGAGTGAACCTCTTTTTGTTCTACTAGTACTCTTACATGCTTTGGTGCACAGATAAGAAGGAAACATATCTATACAGTGAACACTTAAATATTTTTATAAATTTTGATATTGGACATTATTTACTAGTATCATCTTAATTGAACCCATTGACTTTTTTAGATCTTCTGTTAAGATTAATACTTGATTATATTCTATTATTATTATGATATGGGCGCAAAAAAATTGACAGGCAGGCTGGGTCTGCAAAAAGTATACCTGTTTGGACCTCTGCTCCTTCTATCTCCTCTGGTCAATTTTATCGACTTTCTGTCCCCTCCAGAACATCAATTATCAACTAAGAAGAGTCTTCTTATTTAAATATACTATTTTCCTTTTATTAACTAAAATATACCTAGAAAAAAAAATCAATAGACACACACACTTCATAAACAACATACAAAAGTATAATCGACTGTAATTTTTAAAAAAATACATCAATTTTAATTAACAGAAGAAATACCAATGGCACTTCTCAGAAAATAGATGTCTATGCATGTAGTATAATCTTCAATTATTTC